ATATCGCGCCCGGTAGCCACAGTGTGAGCACTCCTGGTAGTCCAGAGAGCCAGCTGCGTCTGTGGCCTGAGTAGTCCGGGGCTCTGCGCCTGGTAGCCACAGTGTGAGCACTCCTGGGAGCACAGAGAGCCAGCTGCGCCTGTCGCCTGAGTAGTCCGGGTATAGCCTGGTAGCGACAGTGCTACACACCTCTGTTGCGCGTGTGTCTGCATCGACGTAAGTGCCTGTGGACTTCTAGGATGCCATCTCTGCGTCCATGGCTATCTGCCACTGAGAGGAGTAGGGACCCGAAATCGCCTTTGCGTAAGAGCGCGGGGTCGGGATGTCTAGTGCATCCGGGTCTCCCTCAGGTGCAAGCAGCATGGCCACGAGATACAGCAGCTGCAAGACACTAAAAGTTCTCCTGCCTGTCCTCAAGGACGTCCGTGCCAAGAGCACACTCACCCCCCGACGGACGAAGGACAGACATCCTCATACTCAGCAACAAGACTAGTGGCGTAGTCTAGACGACACGCAGCAACAAAGTGAACCAGCTCAGCAACTAAGGCAGACGCAGCAGTGGACTCAAAAGAAGGGTCAGTGACAACACTTGCTAGGAGACGTGTGACAGTAGGGCTGGCAGCACGAACAAAGTCAGACTTAGGGTCCGGAACGTCAGGAAGTGAGTACGCCGGGGGAGACGGTAGGGGAACACGCTGTGGAATAAAGGAAGGATGAAGTGCTATAGTGTGCGTGCCGGGGATAGGTGGAGGACGCTGACGAGGAACACGGCAACAAGTGCGAACAGCGCGAACAGGCGAGGCAAGACGAGACGCAGGCTCACGACGCTCTGTAAGAGAGTCCGACTGCTCAGTGTAAGGAGAAGGAGCAGGCAACGGGGAGTTTGGCTGTAACTGCGGCTGCGACTGGTCATGTGGTGGACACAGTAAGGGAGGAGTAAGGCCAGTAGAAGACAAGAGACTAAGAACCTGGCGAAGCACAGAGTCAGGTGGCGGCAGAGACGACGGCGGCGGTGGAGCGAAGAACGGTCGCCGCTGCACAGTGCCTCCAGCACCAACACCTCCAACTCCAGCTCCAGGGCCTCCAGCTCCAGCACCTCCAGCTCTAGTGCCTCCAGCTCCAGCGCCTCCAGCGCCAGCGCCTCCAGCTCCAGTGCCTCCAGCTCCAGCACCTCCAGCTCCAGCGCCTCCAACTCCAGGGTCTCCAGCTCCAGTACCTGCAGCACCAACAGCTCCGGCAGTGCTAGTACCTCCAGTATGAGCACCTCCGGGAACAGCAGCGTCAGCACCTCCAGCACTGGCAGCTCCAGCATTGGCAGCTCCAGCACCGGCAGTACGAGCACCTCCAGAACCAGCAACTCCAGCACCCCCAATACCTCCACGACAAGCAGCTCCAGCGTCTCCAGCTCCAGCACCTCCAGCAGCAGTGCCTCCAGTAGCAGGGCCTCCAGCTCCAGCAGCGCGACTCCGAAGGCGGGTGCGCCGAGCAAACCACTCGCGCAGCTGCTGTGGCGAGAGAGGGGACCGCCGCGAAGAGACACCAGGAGGACCTCCAGCAGACTCAGCACCTCAAGGCTCAGCACCCCCAGACTCGGTGCCCTCCGGCTCAGCACCCCAAGGCTCCGCACCCCCAGGCTCAGCACCCCCAGGCTCCGCACCCTCCGACGCAGCACCCCCAGGCTCAACACCCCCAGGCTCCGCACGCATAGGCTCAGCGGCCCAAGGCTCTTCACCGGCAGGCTCAGCACCCCCAGACGCAGCACCCCGAGCAGCACCACCCCCAGCAGCACCTGAGTCACTAGTGACCTCGACAGGCTCAGCCAAGGGGAGTGGGTCTACCTGAGACACACTTGAAGGAGCATGACCTTAAGGGGGGAGGGGGTCTACCGGAGGGGGGGAGAGGGGGGGTGCTCTAGAAGAAGAGACGGTAGAAGGGAACCGACTCGTCAAATATGACGTTGTGAGAGGACAGATGACGACGCGAAGTGGGGTGGTTAAATTGCTAGCCAGGCGCGTCAGGGGGGAAGCCAAGGAAGACGCAAGAAATTGCCGGGAGGAGAGCTTGTCCGCGGAGGTATCGCGGACAAAGGAACGAGAGCCCTAGACCTGGAACACCGACGCATCGCCAACCTCCCCCGTCCAACGCAGTGTAGGCGAGGTCTCCGGCAAGGAGACACAGGGCCAGAGGTTGAGCTGATGCGCAGCGTATCGGACCGCAAATGGCCACAGAAAATGGGGGGCAGTCGCATGGATCATGGAGGTACGAGCCACCTCCATGACTAAGCCAATGCGGCACTCAGCAACCCCATCTGCTGCAGTGAGGCCAGAAGCGTGAACGACTGGAGGATGCCCTCCCCTTGACAAAAGTCCCCTCGACGCAAGGCGCGGCAGGGCAGGGCAGGCGAGGGCGGGAGGGGAGGCAGTGACCTGGGAAGTCCAGGAACAAGGAGGCGGGAGTGCATGCCACGGAGGCGTGGTAGGGAGGGGTGACCAAGGCAATGGTGCCAAAGGAGAGTCTAGTGCGACAGGAGGCGACACCACTGACTAGGGGGCTGCTACCGGACTTGACACAGACACCTGACCAGACGGAGCTACCTGAGGAGGCGCAGTAGTCAGTGTGTACAGACTCGACCCAGGCCGACGGGAGAACAGTGGAGGAACGTGCAAGAACTGGGCCCCCTGAGGGGTCAGCCAGACGGACTGCAACTTGTGCAGGGAGTGGTGTGACTGTGGTACTCTTGCGAAAGAAGCAGCGGGAAGCATCTGAGTCAAGCGTGAAGGTGTGCAAGGCCTCAGCAGGCGCAGTACCAGAGAGAGCAGACACACTAGCACCTAGAGCAGCAGCCTCTATACCTGGGTCGGGCGGCACACACAGGTAACAGTCACCCTCAGCACTAACAGTCAAAGCATACATGGCAGCAAGGATAGCGTCATAGTCAAGAGCAAAGATATCAACACCAGACCGAAGCAGCTCTAGCCAGCGGGGGAGCTCAGCCTCGTCGCCAAACTCTGCGCGCCAAGCGTCGTCAAGGCGGGAGAAGCAGCGGTGGTGGGTGTGAAACTTCCGGCATGCCTGACCAGCGCAATCACCTGTGCAAATGACCTACAGGCAGCGAATACTACCCCCAGACGCCCCATGTTGAGCAAACCACTCACGAAGCTGCTGGGGCGTAGGGGTCTTGCTCGGACGCTGCTGCTGCTGCCTCTGGCCACCGCCAGAACCTCCCCTTTGAACAGCTCCACCCCGACCGCCACCACTGCCGCCGCCACCACTCCCATTGCCGCTGCCACCGCCGCCACCACTCCCACTGCCGCCACCACCACCCCCACCGCTGCCACCACTGCCGCCACCGACGCCCCCACTCCCGCCGCCACTCCCACCGCCACCTCCGCCACCTCCACCACCTCCACCGCCTCCACCACCACCCCCCCTGCTGCCACCTCCACCACTCTTGCCTCCCTTGCCTATGTCGCTGCGGCGCTTCCCACTAGGAGCAGAAGCAGCCCCGACCTCCTCAGCACCAAGGAAGTCAACAGCAGCATCAGAAGTGTAGGAGGGGGCAAGGGGGGAGGGGGAACACCCCTCAAAGAAGGGCGTGCGAGGAGTGCCACGAGCAGCACCTACATCTACTATGCTAGTCTCAGCTGCAAGAAGACGCTTCTCGAGCAGGTCGACAGTGAGGTCTGTGGGGTCAAGTGCGAGAAATGGTGTCCTTGATTACGCGAAGAGAGTCAGGGAGGTGGGTGACTATGAAGTAGAGCGTGATCTACATCGGGGGCGGGTTCTTGTTTAAGAACTCGGTTGGGATGGCGGCGCGGTAGCGAGTGTCGCTAGTGCGAAGGTGGGTGATGAGGTCCTCAACTGTGGCAAAGGAGGACAGCTCGGGAAATAGGTAGGGCAGCATAAGGTGGCCAAGAGCAGCAGTGGCAGGGGAAGAGTAACGGCAGGTGTTTTCGAATTGCTAGACGAGCAGCAGCGTCATGGGTAAGCCACTGTGAACGAGTAAGAATGTCAGCTGTGTCGGGAGGAGCGAGAGAGGAACCAGACGTGTGGTCAAACCGTGAGACGCCGTCTTTAGAATCGCTCATTAGATACAGCTGTAAGTCATCGAGCCAAGTATCGAACTGTATCGGGCGGCCCTCTGGATCGAATGTGATTACGCTGAGAGTAGCCATAGCTGGAAGAGCAGGGCAGCGCAGAGAGGCTTGCAGGCAGGGCAGGGTGGCGCGCGTTTAGCAGGGCGGTGCACGGGCAGGCTGCAGGTGGCTCGCAGGCAGGGCGCGACGCGCGGGCTTCAAAGGGCAGCGCGCGGGCAGGCAGAGGCGGCGCGCGGGCTGCAAAGGGCTGCGCGCAGGCAGGCAAGGGCGCGCGCGGCCAGCGGGGCGGCGCGTGGGCTGCAGAGGGCGGCACGCGGCTAGCAGGGCGACGCGCGGGCCGGTAACGGTGGCGCACGGGCAGGGCAGTGCAGTGTGCAGCCAGCAGGGCAGCGCGACACGCAGGGCAGGGCAGCGCGCGGCCAGCAGGGCGGCGCGACTGTCAGGGCAGGGCATGGCAGCGTGACTGGTGGGGTGGAGCGCTACGGGCAGCTAATGAATCGGTGGGCCCTAGGAAAAAAAGCAGTTCTGGAACAGGACCTGCTCTGAAACCATGTCAAGAATTGAACGAGAGTGATTGGATTGAACAGAAAGTTGGTACAAGTACTAACCCTAATTGGGTTGTAACTCTTATGGGCTACCCCACTACAGCCTACACAATATAAACGCTATAACAGTTTGACAGCCGTGAACTGCACCAATCTAAAAGCTTGGCTGTCAGGAGTTCACGGCATAAAAGAGTGCCTTTCTCATCCCCAACCCCACGAGGCGCAGTGACTTTTGAGTCGACTCAAAAGCTTGGCTGTCAGGAGTTCACGGCATAAAAGAGTGCCTTTCTCATCCCCAACCCCACGAGGCGCCGGTCTGAATCTCTCGCTCCTACTCACACACCGTGAGTTACACCAATCACAGGCTTTGATTCTCTGGGCTCGGCATAAAAGAAGCGCCTTTCTCATCCCTCGCCCCACGAGGTGCTGGTCTGAACCTCTCGCCCCTACTCTTGCTGCGAGCAGCCCCGGCAGCACCAGGCAGCATGCCAAGCACCTCCCTATCGCCAACCAGGAGAGCCGCATGCCTCACAGCCTGCAGCAGCTTCACATCGGTGACGTCGTTTTCACGGGCTGACAACACCCGGCCGTGGTGGTCGCAGTGGAGCACTCCTGCTGTTAGCATGTCTCGGAAGAGGGTGAGCGCGAGCTTGGGCTGCCGGCAGTGCAGGAGCGTGCGGATGACCGTGGTGTAGTTGACCTGCCATGGGCCGTGCATGTGTATGCGCACAGGGGCACACATTTACAATACACACAGAGGCACACATTGCAGAAAAGGGTTAGTGCGAGCTTGGGCTTGGTGGCAGTGGAGGAGGGTGCGGATGACCATGGTGTGGTTGACCTGGCATGTATGTGCATGTGCACAGGGGCACACACATACAAAACAACAGGGACACACATAGAGGAGAGAAGTCATTGTGAGCTTGGGCTGCACCGGCCAGGTACATGCCCACTCAGAACGCCTCACGGTCTTCACTCACATAATCACATCCCAGGCAGTCTTCCCCGAGCATCGCCTCACCTTGTCCTGACAGCCAGGGTAGCCCAACAGACAAAGCCAAAGCTCGTTTCACATCTCGTGCCACATGCTTCGCATCTGTAGCGCGTGCAGCAGCGCCCTACCCCACCCCCTGGGCACCTCCCATTCCACAAGCCTCGCTTCACCTTGTCATGATAACTGGGGTATTCCTGCAGGCACCCAAACACGTCCAGCATCTCATCTCATGCCGCATGCTTCTTTGCTCCCCTGCTCCCCTGCACCCCTCACCGCCCCTCTGCATGCCGCACCTTGTCATGATAACCGGGGTATTCCTGCAGGCACCCAAACACGTCCAGCATCTCATCTCATGCCGCATGCTTCTTTGCTCCCCTGCTCCCCTGCACCCCTCACCGCCCCTCTGCATGCCGCACCTTGTCATGATAACCGGGGTATTCCTGCAGGCACCCGAACACGTCCAGCATTTCGTGCCACATGCTTCGCCTCTGCAGCGCATGCAGCAGCACCCGCACCGCTGCTGGCGAGGGGGGGTTGTGTGGGTAAGCACCCAGGCACCGCCGGAACCAAGACACGGCCTGGAGGTGGGTGGAAAGCGGACAGGGGAGCGGAAGGGGGAAGGTGGGTGACGGTTACAGTAAGGGGCACAGAGCGTAGCAGCACCCACACCACTGTTGGTGAGGGGGGGTTTATTGGAACCCAGGCAGGAAGTGCCGGAACCACGACACGGGCCTGAAGGGTAGGAGGGTGGGTGGGAAGAAGGGCCGGAAGAACGGGGAAAGCGGTGGGAGGGTGATCACTGATGGCGGGAGGAATGGGGAAAGCGGTACAAAGGGGTAGATCTGAGTCACTTCGGAGAATTCCCGAATACGACGGGTTCCGGGTTCAGCGGTATAAAGCAAACTCTGCAGGCACGCGCTCGTATGCCCATAGCCCATGCCAGCACAGCAGCACGACATGGGTTGTTGGAGGGTGGGGGAGCAGGGCAGAGGTAGGTTGATGAGGATGAGTGGTGATGGCAGGACGAGTGGTGATGGCTGGACGAGTGGTGATGGCAGGACGAGTGGTGATGGCAGGAGGGTAGCTCAAGTGGCGACGATGGCGGCAGTGGCAACATTAGCAGCACTAGCAGTGGCAGTGGGTGGCATTAGCAGCATTAGCAGAGCGGTAGCAGCAGCAGAAGCTGCCTACCCTGCCCCTGACCTGGTGGGGCCGTCTGCATCTTAGTTGGTTTGACTTTAGAGAATCCTCAAAACACACCTGAATTCTCAAAACACACCTGAATTCTCAAAACACACCTGAATTCTCAAAACACACCTGAATTCTCAAAACACACCTGAATTCTCAAAACACACCTGAATTCTCAAAACACACGTGAATTCTCAAAAGTCAAACCAAGGTAAGCAGCAGCACAAGCTGTCTGCCCCTCACCTGGTGGGGCCGTCTGCATCTCAGCAGCAGCTGCAGCACCTCCTCTAGCGCCCGCGCCCCCCCCAATGCAGTCACATCCGCCGCTACCCACTCCCGCAGCAAGAAGACAAAGAAGTCCGCCTGCCCGTGTGCTGCTGCCGCCCGCAGAACGTCCAGCAGTGCGCCGCCCGATACAGGGATGTTGGCACGGGAGAGGCAGTGGAGGAGAGAGGCGGCCTGCAGTTGGTAAGGGATGGGGGCCGGCAGGTGGGGAGGCTTATTGGATGTCACAATAGTCACATATATATATATATATATATATATATACATTTCTATATATATATTCCTTCACGCCTCCTCTCCCGTACCCGTCTGCCTTCCCACGTGGCTCTCATTCTCTTCTCCCTCCTCTCACCTCCCCCACCTCTCACCTCCCGCACCTCTCACCTCCCGCACCTCTACATGAATCCCTCAACTCGCAAGCGCCAGCAGCACCACCACAGCCAAGTCGCCAGCATGCAACCACCCGTCCTGCATCAATCACCCCTCTGTCTACTGTCACCACTTCCCCCTCGTCCTCACCTCGTCTCGGAGCCCGCGTCTTGCATGAGCCAGCAGCACCACCACAGCCATGTCACCGGCATGCAACCACCCGTCCTGCATCAATCACCCCTCTGTCTACTGTCACCACTCCCCCCTCGTCCTCACCTCGTCTCGGAGCCCGCGTCTTGCATGAGCCAGCAGCACCACCACAGCCATGTCACCGGCATGCAACCACCCGTCCTGCATCAATCACCCCTCTGTCTAATGTCACCACTCCCCCCTCGTCCTCACCTCGTCTCGGAGCCCGCGTCTTGCATGAGCCAGCAGCACCACCACAGCCATGTCACCGGCATGCAACCACCCGTCCTGCATCAATCACCCCTCTGTCTAATGTCACCACTCCCCCTCGTCCTCACCTCGTCTCGGAGCCCGCGTCTTGCATGAGCCAGCAGCACCACCACAGCCATGTCACCGGCATGCAACCACCCGTCCTGCATCAATCACCCCTCTGTCTAATGTCACCACTCCCCCTCGTCCTCACCTCGTCTCGGAGCCCGCGTCTTGCATGAGCCAGCAGCACCACCACAGCCATGTCACCGGCATGCAACCACCCGTCCTGCATCAATCACCCCTCTGTCTAATGTCACCACTCCCCCTCGTCCTCACCTCGTCTCGGAGCCCGCGTCTTGCATGAGCCAGCAGCACCACCACAGCCATGTCACCGGCATGCAACCACCCCTCCTGCACCGCCTCCTCCACCACCCCTGCTGCCACCCTCACTGCCCAATCCTCCTCCTTCTCCTCCTCCCTCTCCTCTCCCCCCTCCTCTCCATCTCTCATCTCTACATTTCCCCCTATCACTGCCCGTCTCCTCGCCCTCCCCTCCTCCCATTGCACTGTCTCTCCCCGTGCCCTCTTCTCCCCCACCAGAGCAGCGATGGGAGCGCAGCAAGCAGCAGCAGGGGGCTCCTGCCCCTCTCGCCTCAGCAGCCGCAGGAGGTCCAATGAGAACGCGACACGTGGCATGTCTATGGCACCTAGTCGGGCCGAAGCGGAGCCCGAGTCCGAGCCTGAGCAGCAGGCTTGGATGGTCCAGGAAATCAGGTTGGTTCGGTGGCGGTGAAAGAGAGGCGTGGGGATAGCGGAGGTGAGAGGGGGGGTCAAAGGGTCACCTATTAGACCCTCTGCCTCTGTTGCTGCCTCTGCTGCTGCCTCTGCGGCTTCTGCTGGCTGTGATGCCATCGCTGTTGCTGCTGTTGCTGCTGCCTCTGACGCTGCTGGTGGTGCTGCAGCGGTGGCAGCAGCAGCAGCAGGGGAGGCGGGGGAGGGGAGGTGGAGTGAGGCCAGGCGGATGAGGTGGGAGAGGAGGCGGGCGGGGGAGGAGAAGGGGAGGGGAGGCGGGCCCACGAGTGCGTGAGTCAGAAGGTGAACCGTGTCCTGAGAGAGGTCGGGAGGGAGGAGAGATGGGAAGGGGAGGGGGTGAACTTGTGGAAGGAAGGGAAGGGATGGTGGCAAGTGCATTTTGACAGCTGTGCAAGTGAGAAATGCACACGGTCACACGCTCACACACTCGCACGCTCTCACGCTCCACGTTCGCACGCTCCCACACTCGCAAGCTCACACACTAACGGGCACACACCTGGTTGGGCAGCTCGCCCCGTCGGTGCATCTCCAGCAGCAGCCCATCCACCTCCTCCACCATCGCTGCTGCACCTGATACTGATGCCGATGACGTTGCTGCTGCTGCTGCTGCTGCTGCTGCTGATGTCGTTTCAGACGCATTCCCTTCATCTTTTCCCTCGCTCTCCTCAATGGCCTCGCGAATGGCCTCATTGAAAGCAGCAGCAGAGAGAGCAGCGCCTGCAGCCGCCAGGCGCCGCAGCATGGCCCGTGCTGTGGGTAGAGGGGGCGATGTGGATTCTTGTGGTGATGTGTTCTGAGGGATTGGGAAGGAATTGGTGGGAGCAGGGGTCAGAGGAGAGTGTGGTGTGGAAGAGGAGGGAGGAGGAGGAGGAGGAGGAGGAGGAGGAGGAGGAGGAGGAGGAGGAGGAGGAGGAGGAGGACAGGGGGAGGTAACAGAAGGGGCTTGGTGCTGAGGGTGGTGCGTTGAGGCGAGGCGAAGGGCTGAGAGCAGGGCTTCACAGGAGGTGGGGTCGGGGAGGATGCCTTGTGCCTGGAGGTGAGGACAGGCAGGGAGAGAGGGTAGGAGAGTGGGTAGGAAGAGAGGGTAGGGAGAGGGGGCAGGCAGGAAAGGGGTAAGCAAAGAGAGGATATGCGAGACAGAATGAGACGTTGAATCTGAGTCGCTTTTGAGAATCCTCAAAACAATTCAGTGAGCAGTAGAACTCTGAAATGACATGGTATGACAATGCCTGTGTGTGCCGTGTTTCTAGAGTTCGACTGGGTGCAGATACGTGCACGCCTGAACGAGCAGTTGGACCGGATGGAGGATGTTCAGAAATTGACTGAGTGCTGAAACAAGGTGGCACAAGCCAAGCGAGGTGTGTTCGGGGGGGGGGGGGGGGAATGGGGATGAGAGTGGTAGGAAAAGGAGAGTGGTATGGGGAAGACAAGGGTGGGAAGTAGCATAGCGAAGAGGGCGGCAGGGAAAGGGAGCTCAGCCAACTCGTTGCTCTTATCGTCGGACTTGTTCATATAGTCTGTCGTAGCAGAGAGAACATAATGGAAGAAGATAAAAAAGAGCTCGTTCCCATGCTACTCCGCTCCCACGCCGCCCCACTTATCCCCCGCTACCCGCTTCCAAATGCCACTCCCATTCCCCAGCCACTTCTCTCCCTACGATGTGGCCCATTCCTCCTTACGGAGGGAAGTGGGTGGGGAATGGGAGTAGCATGTGGAAGTGGGCAGGGGATAAGAGGGGCGGCGTGAGGAGGGTAGTGGCATGGGGATCGAGCCATTTCTTATCTCCTTCCACTATGTTTTCCCTGCACCTGACAGACCACGTGAACTAGACCTACGATAGGAGCAGCTAGTCGAATGTGTTCCTTTTCCCTGCCACCCTCCTCCCTATGCTACTCCCCTGCTCTCCCTTCCCCATACCACTCTCTTTTCCTTGCTACTCCCTTCCCCATGCCTACCCTCTCCCCCCCCCTCGAACACACCTCGCTTGGCTTGTGCCACCTTGTCTCAACACCCAGCCAATTTCTAAACATCTCCTATCTGGTCTAACCGCTCGTTGAGGCGTGCACGTATCTTCACCCAGTCAAACTCTGGGATAACATGACAAGAAGTCACATGACAAGACACAACACGACACGGTACGACAGCACAACACACCACACCAGACCATACCACAATGCACCACACCAAACCGCACCGCACCACACCGCACCACAACGCAGCACACCGTACCACAGCTCGCCATAGCACAGCAGGTGAAGAATCTACTGCGGCCAAGGAGACCCAGAACAACAAGCGAGTCACTCACCAGCCGCACCTCAACCATCCTGACATGCTCCCCCACCCCCACTGCAAGCGCCTCCCTTTCCTCCCTCTGCCTCATCTGCTCCCTCTGCTCCCCCACCCCCTGTTCTTGCTCCCACACGCCCGTTGTCCCCACGCCCGTTGTCCCCACGCCCGTTGCCCCCACGCCTGTTGCCCCCACGCCTATTGTGCCCAAAGCACCCCCCTCCCCCATTGCACCTTTCGCTTCCCCCTCCTCTGCCTCCTCTTCCTTCCTATCCCCTCTTCTTCCCCCCCCCCGTCTGCCTAATTCAGGCCTGTCCCCCAAACCGCCCCTCGCCATCCCCCTCACTCTTCCCTCTTCATCCCCTCCAAACCCTCCTTCTCCCCCCCCTTCACCCACCACAATCCCCCTTTTCCGTTCCCCTTCAACAGCCTCTTCCACACCCGTCTCTCGCACCACCACTTGAGTCCACGCCTCATTGACGCTCTTCACCCTCCCCCTCCCCCTCACCCACCGTTCCACCGCCACCCCTCTCTCCCTCTCCCTCGCCTCCCTCCACTCTGCCTCCAACCGCAACCATTCTGCTTGTTCAGCTGCCCGTCGGGCAGTTTTTTCTTCCCAGGCAGCCTGCCGGGCAGCAGCACTGGCCTCTAAAAGTGCTTCCATCCGACCCGCCAGCTCCTCCCGAGCCTCCGACGAGCCTAGCACGGCCACTGAGCCTCCCTCCCACTTCTGCTCCTCGTGTCTCTCATCTGGGCGAAGCACCTGAATGGACAGCTGGTGCTGCAGAACCTGGTGCTGCAGAACCTGGTGCTGCAGAATCTGGTGCTGCAGAACCTGGTGCTGCAGAACCTGCATTCTTTCCACAGCACCAACACTACTATCCCTTCCGTACAGTCTCACTTCTCTTGCACGCTCAATCTGCTCCCCTTCTCCACCACCTCCTCCTCGTCCTCCTCTTCCTTCACACCCCTCCTCTTGTTCCCTCTCCTCTCTGTCCCTCCCTTCATCCCGATACTCTGCTTCTCCCCCCTCCTCAACTCCCCCCCTGCCAACCAACCGCAGGCTCTGAGCAGCAAAGAAGAAATGTCTGGCAAGAGGAGAGGGCAGAACGGGGGAGGTGCCCTGAAAGCACTGGATGTACTCTGCGATCTTGACGCTCCATCTTAGCCGATCAACGGCCCACGGCTCTCCGATCAGCAGCACTGCCATGTTCTCTAGAACCTCCCGAGCGCGCGCGCACAACGCTGAGCTGGCAAGTTTTCCAATACTTGGGGCCAGGTCGGACGTAACCCTATCTACATCAGATGTAACCGTGCCAGCCGTCGCCATGCCAGCCGTCGCCATGCCAGCTGTCGCCATCCCAGCTGTCGCCATGCCAGCTGTCGCCGGTACTAGAGAAGCCGGTGGCTCCAGTGGTGGGTGAGTGGCCTTAGAGGCAACAAAGGCAACGAGGGAGGCGGAGGAGGGGAAGGGCCGGTTGGGGCCACATGCGCCCTTGAGCACAAAGAGTAGCGACCTCTGTATAGAACAGAGAACAGGGGGGGGTGGGAGGAGGAAAGGCAGGGGGGGGGGGGCGGAAATGAGTCGACTCAAAAAGCAGTCAGGGCCACATGCACCCTTCAGCACAGGGGTAATGGGTTTGGGATTAGGACTGTAGGGTTTCAGTCGCAACACCCACTTATGGCCACACCCAAGCTGCCCATCCCATGCCCATGCTGCCCATGCCATGCCCATACTGCCTATCAATGACATACCCATGATGGCACAACATTATATCTGAGCATGTCGCCAAACACGGCTGCCACGTCATCAGCTGCTCCCTGCTTGCATGCTGACATCAGCACCAGATTGAACGGACTCACATACCCTCCTGTGAACACTGTAGCACCCTCGTTACTATCACCCTCACTGCCACTACTATCACCTCCAGCAATGCCCCTCCCTCTATTGTCACCCTCGCTAGTGTCACGTTCCATACTGCCACCGCTCTCATCACCAGCACCGGTGCGACGACTCATCCTCCGCCCCCCTTGCAGCTCCTCCCTCCCTTGCTCGCCCCCACTCAGCTCCTCCCCTCCTTCCAGCCCTTCCTGCCTGCGCATGTGACCCTCCTCCTGCCCTTCCTGCCCTTCCTGCCTGCGCATTTGATCCCCCTCTCGCTCCAAAGCACTCAGCATCAGTCCGTAAACTTCTTTCAGCTGCCCGTACTGCCCGGGGTCGCGCAGGGCAGACAGAACACGCGCCCATGCAGCAGGAGGGGGCGGCGGGGCGGCGGGATCCGCCTGAAATGGGCGGGGGAGGGGGAAAGAGAGAGAAGGGCACGAGGTTTGAGAAAACGTGAGCAGAAGACACAAAGCCATACCTGAAGCAGAGCAGACACAACACACGCCCATGCCGCAGGAGGGAGTGGCGGGGCGGGGGGGGCCCGCCTGGAAGGGGCAGGAGTGCAGAGGGTGTGAGAAAACAGGGCACTCACCATGTGCTCTCAAGAACAGGGCACTCACCATGTGCTCTCGAACCAACAGCGCACTCACCATGTGCTCTCGAACCAACAGGGCACTCACCATGTGCTCTCGAACCAACAGCCAAACCTCTTCAGGGTCCGCCCTCTTCCACCACCACGTGTGTTTTTGAGGCACCCCAAAGCTCACCTCAAGACTTTTGAGGCGCCCCAAAGCTTGCTGCACTCACCATTTGCTCTTGAACGAACAGCCAAGCCTCTTCTGGATTCACCCTCTTCCACACCACCTCACTCCCCATCCCCTCCCCTTCCCGTTTCCCCTCCCGCTCCAACTCCCCCATCCCCGCCTCTTCCACCCCCTCACTCCCCTCACCAACCACTCCCCTAGCACCCCCCATCACCGGGCTCAACCGCTCTCGATCCCCTCGCAGCCGCGCCCGCTTCTCCCCCATGAGCTCCCACGTCACCTCCACTCTCTGTGGCGCCCCCTGCCTCTTCCCCCACACTCCCCCCCTCTCCCCGCCCCTCTCCCCGCCCCTCTCCCCTCCCCTCTCCCCTCCCACTCCCCTCTCCCCTCCCCTCTCCCCGCCGATTCCCCCCTCCCCCTGCGCCAGCTGCGCCCATCTCTCCGCCAGCTCCCCCTCCTCCGCCCTCTCTAATTCCTCCAGTGCACTCCGCACTCTCTCCCCCACCCTCGTCTGCTCCCCACCTGCCCCCCGCCCTCCCCCCCTTCCCCCCCGCCTCCCAGCGCCTCCTGCCCGCATCTCCCCTCCCTCGGCGCCACTTTCAGGCTCCCACACCACGCCCCAGTAAGTGCTCTGCACATAGTCGCCGATCCTGTCGCCGCTAACCCTGTAGCCGAACCTGTCGCCAAACCTGTTGCCGAGCCTGTCACCGACCTGTTTGCCGAGCCTCAGGTCTAACCTGTCGCCTGCTCTGTTGCGTATCCTGTCACCCTCCCCGTCCCATGCAACACCATCTCTCCCTGCAGCAACCTCGCTCCCCACAGCCTCTGCTGCAGTCACATTCGCTGTAGTGCCATCCACCACCACCTCTGCCTCTCCCCCCACCGCATGTTCTATAGTCTCCTCAGGTGCAGCATCACTCCCTGCAGCAACCGCATTCCCTACAGCCTGTGCTGCAGTCACCTTCGTTGCAGTGCCATCCACCACCTCTGCCTCTTCTCCCCCCGCCTGTCTGACCATCTCCTCACGTAAATCCCCCTCTGGTGATGCCTCTGCTACAGCCGTCTCTGCTACAGCTGCCTTTAGGTCGGTCTCCTTACGACCCACAGCACCCTCTGCTACAGCCTGCTCTGCTACAGCCTGCTCTGCTACAGCACCCTTCGCTGTATCTCGTTGATCCTCACTGCCGCCCACAGCTGGCCTTCGCAGCATGGGCCCACCAACGGTGTTCCCCCTCCCTCCCTCTCCACCCCCCCTGCCGGCCCCACGGTCCCCCCCAGCCCATCCCATTGCCAGCCTTCGCTCTGCCAAGCTCTTTCTGCTGCTGCTACCGTTGTTGTTGCTGCTGCTGCTGCCACTGCTGCTACCATCTGCACCACTTGCACCTCCTCCGCTCTCCCCTCCGTTCCTCACTACCGACCCCTCGCCTTCGCCTGCCGTCCTTTCCATAGCTCTCTCCCTATAATTTTCTTCTGCTGGCACCATCGCTGGCACCACTGCTGGCACTATCGCTGACGCCACGGGTGCATCATCTGCCGCTCGTTCCTCTGCTGCTTCTGCCACTGCCACTGCTGCCGCCCCTATCTCGACCCCTGCTGCTGCCAGCACTGGCAATCTCACTCTCCCCATGGCCTCCCTTTCACTGCTCCTCACTTCCACAACTGCAGCCCCCACAGTCACCGTCACCTCTCCCTCCTGCCCTCCTCTGCTTCCCCGCCCTTCCTCCCACTCCCCCTTCACCTCTGCTCCTCCCACTTCCTCCCCCTCTCCATTCCCTACCCTCGCTTCTTCCACTCTTCCTCCCTCCCTCTCGTCTCCCGCATCCCCCCCCACTGGCCTGTCTCCCTCCACTCCTTCCACCCCCTCCACTCCTTCCACCCCCTCCACTCCTTCCACCCCCTCCACTCCTTCCACCCCCTCCACTCCTTCCACCCCCTCCACCATGCCATCACTCATGCACACCGACTGCCCCACCACCACCCGCCCACCCTCGCCCTCATAATCTTCCTCTGATGCCTCGCCCTCATAATCTTCCTCTGATGCCTCGCCCTCATAATCTTCCTCTGATGCCTCGCCCTCATAATCTTCCTCTGATGCCTCGCCCTCATAATCTTCCTCTGATGCCTCGCCCTCATAATCTCCCTCTGATGCCTCGCCCTCATAATCTTCCTCTGATGCCTCGCCCTCATAATCTTCCTCTGATGCCTCGCCCTCATAATCTTCCTCTGATGCCTCGCCCTCATAATCTTCCTCTGATGCCTCGCCCTCATAATCTTCCTCTGATGCCTCGCCCTCATAATCTTCCTCTGATGCCTCGCCCTCATAATCTTCCTCTGATGCCTCGCCCTCATAATCTTCCTCTGATGCCTCGCCCTCATAATCTTCCTCTGATGCCTCGCCCTCATAATCTTCCTCTGATGCCTCGCCCTCATTATCTTCCTCTGATGCCTCGCCCTCATAATCTTCCTCTGATGCCTCGCCCTTTCCACCACTCACAGCCTGCTTCCCTGCTGCCTGCACACCCACAGCCTCCTCTGACGCCTCTCCCCCTCCACCACCCACACTCTCCTCTGACAATCCGCTTCCCGCCGCAACAGCCACGAGCCCATCACCCTCCTCTGCCTCACTGCCCACCTTCTCCCCACTCACTGCCTCATCAACAGACGCTACATCATCTCCAGGCGCCATTTCAGCAGGCGATATCCTCTCCGGCCGCCACGTCAGCATCCCTGAACAGGTATCTAACAACTACCCTGAGCGCCCTGTCGCTACCCCTCAGCTCACCCGCTAGCACCTGGAACTGCCTCTCTGCTGCCTCCACCTCCTCTGGGGACACCTCTACCAGGTTTATCAGCTCTGGCAACGGTTTTGTTACACCTGCAATGGCTGCACCTGCTGCTCCTGCCCCTGCTGCTCCTGTATCCCTGGTTGCACCTACTTCACCTGTCACGCTGCTTTCTGGCACTGCTACACTTGCTTCACGAGTCGCCCCTGCAGCATCCCATATTTGCCCATCCACTCCCCCACTCCCTACCACGCTCTCTCCCACACTCTCTCCCGCCGCCCTCTCCCACCCCTCCCTTGCCGCCCACAGCATCACAGCCAGTCCCCTGAGCCCGCCCTCAGACGCGCAGGCCTTGGCTAGCAGACGAAGTGCATAGCTGTCCGCCGGGCGGCCACCCGCCCGCATTGCCGCCCACACGCGGGAAAAGGACGAGAGATTGCTGGACAGGAGGTAGGCGGAGAGAAGGACCGTGTAGGGGCGCTGGAGGGAGGAGGGAAGGAGAGGAGATGAAAGGTGTTTGCAAGAATGGAACACGGTACGAAGAAGATCGGAAGAAATGGAAGTTCAAATTTTCAATTTCATTTCCAAGTTCCATCCTGATTTTTCCGAACTTCCAACCTGACGAGATTGAAAACTCTTCCTCGCTTTCAATCGCCATCCACGTTTCCGTCCGTCATTTTTAACTACATCCAAGCTTCAATGATGCCCAACACCCCGCTTAACCGAGGCGAGTCTTCTCACGCCAACAACAAGAAAAACGCCCGTGAAATTACGGGCGATCGCCCTGACGATTTTCTTGTTGTCCGGACGATTTGGGGCATTGGCGTGATAAGGCTCACTTCGGTTAAGCAGGGCGTTGGACGTCATTGAAGATTGGTTGCAGATAAAATTGTCCGACAAAAGCATGGATGACGATTGAAAGCGAGCAAGGGTTTTTAACCTCGCAAGGTTGAAAGTCCGAAAAAATCGGGATGGAGCTCGGAACTTGGAAATGAACTTGAGCGAGGAAGAGTGGAAGAAAGAAAAGGACAGACAAGAAAGGAACAGGGAGGAGGGAGGGAGGGAGGGAGGAGGGAAGAGGGAAGAGGGAGGAGGGAGGAGGGATGAGGGAGGAGGGAAGATGAGCTGAGGGCGATGAGGGGCAAAATGGCACTGCATATATGGTGGGTGGTGCTTGCTGACGTGGATTAGCGAAGGGCATCGCAGGTTGAACATTAGGGTTCAAAGTGCATACACCCTTATCTGAAATCACTCATTCACCCCATACTTTCAGCCTTGGACCCTACTTTTGAGGCGCCTCAAAACGTGACAAGACTCACCCCATACTTGAAGCCTTGCACCTTGACCAAGTGCGCCCGCCCATACTCTGCACACACCGCCTCTGCCTGCTCCATGCGCCCCGCCCCCACCATCGCCTCCACCACCGCCACATACAGGCTCGGCTCCACGCCCCTCTTGCTCTCCTCCACGCCCCTCTTAGTCACCTCTCCCTTGCCTCCCCCCTTGTAATCACATCCTCATTGCCGCTATGTTTGACAGCCGTTGGCAAGTCTCTTGTAACTACAACCGGTCGCCTCACTCCCACACCCGCTCTCTCACTCTTTTGAGGCGCCTCAAAACTCACTCCCAGACCCACTCTCCCACTCTCCTCCTCCACTCCTCCCCCAGTTTCTCTTTGCATGCCAGTCACTCCCTCTTCCTTACTCACACCCTCACTCACTCCCTCACTTGCTCCCTCACTCTCCTCCCCGACAAAAACGCTCCAAGCTCGGTCCATCTCTCCAGCTCTTGCAAACCCCAGAACCATCGCCATGCGAAAACTTTCTGGCTCGGACAGCCCGAGCGCCAAAATTTCCCCAACAGCTGCCCGGATCCCTGCCACGTCGCCCTGGGCAGCAAGGGCCTCGAGCCACATGGCAGCATTCCATTGGCTGAGAGTATATCCTGCTTGAATCATGCTGGTTACGGTTGGTGGGATGAGCGGGAGGTGGTTGTGGGAGTAGAAGGAACGGAGGAGCACTCGGTATGACTCGTGGTCCAGCGAGAAAGGGGTTGAGGAGGGGGGGGAGGAGGGGGAGGGAGAGGAGGAGGAAGGGAGGGAAGAGAGTGAGGAGAGGAGGGCTGCTGTGAGGGAGGCGGCATGCGGCGAGCAGGCCATGCAGTAAAGCAGTACCCTGGTGGATGGGAGAGGGGAGATGGCGATGGGAAAGAATCGGGTTACGGAGGAATAGGAAAGGAGGGAGTGTAACAGGTGAGTGCACGACCATACAGGGTAACGGGTGAACCGCTTGACGACAATCACAACATACTCCAATCGCATACTGATTGGTCAATCAATACCACATGGTCCAATCAGTTCACCAATCACCTCACTCACTTGACCAATGACATGAGCTCCGGGTCGTCTGCTGCCGCCCGTCTCTCCACCAATCCGATTGCATCCTCCCACCGCCCCTGCTGCGCCAGCACGCGCACCATCACAGAAAAGACAAACGAGTCCGGCCGCACGCCGTCTGCCTGCATCTCCTCGAACAGCGCCTCGCTTCGTCCCCACATGCGGGAGTGGGCGGCGATCTGAATGGCGAGGCTGTAGGAGTCGAGGCGCGGGCGGCACCAGGGCTGCTGGCGCATCCAATCAAACACCCTCAGGGAGAGAGAGGGAGCGTGCTGCATCCACAGCTCCAACATCTGCCAGGTAGCCAGGTGAATTGGAAAACACAAAATTAGGTTAGGAGGGGTGGTACGAGGTGAGAGGGGGTGGCATGGAGTGAGGGGGGGTGGTATGATGTGAGAAGGGGTGGTATGAGGTGGGGGAGGAGGCACCAGGGCTGCTGGCGCATCCAGTCAAACAGCCTCAAGGAGAGAGAAGAGGCGTGCTGCACCCATAGCTCCAACATCCGCCGAATGGGGTGGTATGTGGTGAGGAGGGGTCGAATGGGGGGTGGCAGCGGCAGCGCCTCTGCCGAAGCATTTAATCAGACGCTGCAAACCTCCAGAATATCATGGCAACAAAATTGGGGTTCGGGGTTTAGAATTTGGAGTTTAAGGTTTCATGTTCAAGCATTAGAGATTGGAATTTGGGGTTATGGGCTGGGTCAGTACATTCAGGTTTCTGGTTGCAATAGTTCAGGTTTCACACGCTGAGTTCAGCACCACGTGGCATTCCTCATACATGGCATGGCACACAAGATTCCTGCCACGTGGCACACAAGATTCCTGCCACGTGGCACTCACCAGGCCCATCATGTGATACCGGTTGCCCCTCCACCCATCCACAATCTCCTCCACACTCCGCTCCTCTCCACTCCTCTCTGCTGCAATCACCTGAGCTGCCACCTGAGCAGCCACCTGGACAGAAAATCCCTCCTCACCTCCCTCACTCCTCTCACCACCCCTTCCAACACCACGTGCCTCCGCTCCTCGTTCCCCTTCCCCCCTGCTCCTCCTCCTCCTCCTCCTCCTCCGCTGCCTCCATCTGCCATTCGCCATTCGTCTCATTCCGTCCCTCCCTGTCGCGCCGCAGCCTCTTTTCCTCCCACCTCTTCCACCCCTTCCATGTCCCCGCTTGCTCCCTCTCACTCCTCTCCTCACTCTGCCCCTCGCCCCTCCCCCCCTCCCTCTCCTCCTCCCCTTCATCTTCCATCTCCTCGCTCACATCACCACCGTTTTCACTGCCTAAAACCCTGCTATCTAAACCCCTACTTTCCAAAACCCTCTTCGCCAAAACATTGTCCCCTGGCCTTGCGCGGCGCTCCTTGGCCAGAAGAAACTTCTTCTGCATTTCCAGCGCCGCCCACTCCGATACAACCTCTCGCCAGCTCCAATAACGCGTACGCCCATCCGACCCACCTCTCCGCCGCGGGGAGTATCGACCCCGCGTTTCCACGCTCTGCCCCTGCCGCAGCACCTGCCCCTGCCGCTGCCACTGCCGCTGCGCTGGTTGCCCCTGCGCCTGCGCCTGCACCTGCCCCTGCCGCTTCCCCTGCGCTGGTTGCGCCTGCACCTGCTCTAGCTGCGTTGGCTGCGCCTGCAGTTGCGCTGGCTGCGCAGGCCGCCCCAGAAATGGGAGAGGCTGCGGTGGCGGCGCTTGCGCAGATTCAAATGCAGGCTTTCGGGCGCTCTCGCTACTCGGGCTCGCGCTATGCCGCGTGCGAGCCCTTAAAATCGTATCCTCTGAACTCGTGTTCTCTAAAGCCGTATTGTCTGAAGGCGTATTCTCTACCGCCGTATTCTCTATAGGTGTACGCGCATTCCCGTTGGCGGATCTACGCGAAGGCGTTGTTTCGCCTTCGCTCCATGGGTCGTCTGTCCCCGATACAGAGTGGGGACTCGATAAAAGCGTTGGCTTTTCGGGCGTCTCTGACGAGCAGATGGAATTGGCAGATGCATCCTCGTTTCTGGCACTGCTGCGAATAACAAAACCCACTCGCCTGCGCCCTGTGGTTGTGGTTGGCGAGAGCAGCTGGGGAAGCGGCGGACGGACCTGCCTGCGCAGATCGGAAGAGGCGAGGCGACGCGCGAGGAGTCTGCGAGGCGGCGGCAGGGCGCGATGAGCGAACGCGCGAGGAACGAGCGAGAAAGGCGCGAGTGAGAGAGGAGCGAGCGACGGGCGCACGGGCGTGAGAGCGCCCGGTGCAGACCTCGACACGCGGGCGCATCTATCGCATTTGACGCGCGCGGTGCTTGCTCGTTCCGCGCTCGCGACCGCGTGGAATTCGAGGCGCTGCGGGGAAGAGACTGTTGAAACGTCGCGAGACTGGGCGGCAGCGGGGCATGCAACGCGCATCCGCGGCAGCGCCCCTACCGGGCCTGCCAGGACTGCCGCCATCGGAACGGTGGCGCGTCGCGACCTGTAGGCTCGCCGACGATGGCGCTACGGATTCTGGATCGAAACTGAGTTAAAAGACTTCAGGGTGAAGCTGGCTAAGCTTTATGAGCCCGGAATGGCGACGAGGGGGGTCAGAATCGGCGCAAGACCGTGCCTTTGTCTTCACTGAAGCCACCGTTGTGATTAAATGGATACACCAGTTGTGATTAGGAGGTGGTATATTCAATCGAAAATGAAACGAGTCGAGATTGGCGTGGCGTGGTGGTTTTTTTTTTGGGTTGCGAAGCAACCCTTTACGATCGATTTTGCCAAATTTTATTTTCATGTTTATATTTTTTGTTAAAACATGAAAATAAAATTTGCAAACTACAGTAATACCCTTCCCATACTGTATGCATGTTAAGCAGTCTTGACTACGGTACTGTTCAGTGTATTAGACCATATGAATTTTTTTGCAGTTGTTTAGTGCAGATTTGCTGTACTGTTTGCATTACCGTATATGTTTTACTGTTGAATGGTGTTGTGTGATAATAAATTGATGCATGCACAATGCATAAATGATGCTATACAATGCATAATGCATAAATAATGCTATATAATGCGTGTGATATATCATGAATGATGCGCATGCACATGGTAAAATGCGTGACAGTTAAAAACCCAAAAACTAAGCTACCGCCATCCCCTGCCTAGCATGGGGGGGAGGTAAATAGCTTAGCTTTTGAATAATCAACTACCACATGAAACAACACAATCTGTGAAATCTAAAAAGAAAGTCATCTCTATCAAATCCAGTTCGAAGTGGTCGCACACGAGTCACTGAGTGCGCCAATGAACCTTTTGTGAAATGATAGATTTGAGATTTCTTTTTAAAGATCAAAGACGTGCGTTGTTATTGCAATGGATACGGATGAATGCACACAGCCACAGCACACACATACACACACACATACACACACAAACATACAAACAAATATACAAGTGTCAAACATTGCATGTTTATATTATGTAGGCTGTAGTGGGTTACACCTTAGGGGGTACTCAAAGTTAGGGTTTCCTACTTGTACCAAACTCTGTGCTAGTTCATTCCATTCCTGCTCAGTTATTCTGACATGGTATCAGAGCAGGTCCATCGCTAGGACCGCTCTTAGGGCCCACCGCTACCTACCTACCTACCTACCGTGCGCCTCTTGCGCCTACGCGCCCTCGTGCGCCCTACCCTACGTGCGCCCTCGTGCGCCTTTCTCTCCTTGTGCGCCTTCGTGCGCCCTCGTGCGCCCTCGTGCGCCCTCGAGCTGCCCCTGCAGGTCCGTCAGGCCACCGAGCCGTCGCTGCAGGCCTGTCAGGCACCTGAGCCGCCGCTACAGGCACGTCAGGCACCCGAGTCGCCGCTGCAGGCCCGTCAGGCCACGCGCGCCGCCCCTGCAGGCCCTAGCCGGCCGCCGCGTCGCTCTGCCCGCAGCGTCGCCGCCTCTCCGCGGCGTCGTCGCCTGCCCGCGTCGAAGCCGCCTGCCCGCGACGTCGATCCCTGCCCGCGGCGCCGTCGCCTGCCCGCGGAGACGTCGCCTGCCCGCGGCGTCGTCGCGGCGTCGCCACCTGCCCGCGGAGTCGTCGCCTGCCCGCGCCACATGCACGCGGCGTCGCCACCTCCTCGCCGCGTCGACCTGCCCGCGGCGTCGCCACCTGCCCGCCGCGTCGACCTGCCCGCGCCGTCGCCACCTAACCCTAATCCGTCGCCCTGCCCGCGGCGTCGCCACCTGCCCGCCGCGTCGCCCTGCCCGCGCCGTCGCCACCTAACCCTAATCCGCCTCTCGCCCCTGGAGCAGCCGCCACTGCAGTAGCAGCCCCTGGAGCCGCCGCCACTGCAGCAGCAGCCCCTGCAGCCGCCCGCCACTGCGGCAGCAGCCACTGGAGCCGCCCGCCACTGCAGCAGCCGCCCCTGGAGCCGCCCGCACCTGCAGCAGCCGCCCCTGGAGCAACTGCCGTCGTAGCCCGGTCTAGCTCTGCAGCAGCTGCCGCGGAGCTTCCTACTGCGCCTGCCACGCCGACCACTGGTGAGCATTGCCCTGCCAGCACTGCTACCGCTGCTACTGCTACTACTGCCGTTTCTACTCCCACTCCCGCTACTCCTGCTGCTCCTGACGTGGCCAGATGCAGCCACAGGACCGTGCGCGTGAGTCCCTCACGCTCCAGCAGGCTCGTGAGTGGTACGCCAGTTGGGGCTATCGAGGTGGCCGTAGTGGTAGTCGCTCTGACGTGCGTCGTTCGGGAGCCCCTGGTAGTGGACAGGTGCAGCAGCCGTGCCCTCCTACGGTCCAGCAGGCTCGTGAGTGGTACGCCAGTTGGGGCTATCGGGGTGGCAGTCGTGGTAGTCGCTCTGACGTGCGTCGTTCGGGAGCCCCTGGTAGTGGACAGGTGCAGCAGCCGTGCCCTCTTCTGGTCCAGCAGGCTCGTGAGTGGTACGCCGGTTTGAGCAGTCGGGGTGGCCGTAGTGGTAGTCGCTCTGGCGTCCGTCGTTCGGGAGGCTCAGGTAGTGGACAGGTGCAGCAGCCGTGCCCTCTTCTGGTCCAGCAGGCTCGTGAGTGGTACGCCGGTTTGAGCAGTCGGGGTGGCCGTAGTGGTAGTCGCTCTGGCGTCCGTCGTTCGGGAGGCTCCGGTAGTGGACAGGTGCAGCAGCCGTGCCCTCTTCTGCTCCAGCAGGCTCGTGAGTGGTACGCCGGTTTGAGCAGTCGGGGTGGCCGTAGTGGTAGTCGCTCTGTGAGTGAGGCAGCCGCTCTCGGTGCCAGTACGTCTGTTGCCCTCG